TGCAGCAGTAGCTGCAGCACCTCAACTGGCACAAAACAGCGTATACCGGCCACACATTAGTGGTCAATTCATCCCTTGATGAGCAATATCCCAAACCTCTATTTAGCAAAGCCACTAAAAGAAACTGCTGTTTAAAAACCCTCCGAGATGTTTAATCAACAACGCCACCCCGCCACGGTGCCCCCAGTTCCCGCAGCGCGAACTCGGTAAATTGCAGGTACCCTGGGAGGCCCAATGCCGAATGCGGGAAGCCCCCGGCCTCAAGGCCTCACACAAGTGTTGAGGACACCAGAAGCCCTGGTAACAACCCAAAGGGCCCCCGAAGGGGCCCCAACAACGCCCCCAAATATGTGGCACTTAAAACTATTGTAATCACCATGACAAACTCATCGTCTGCCGCTAAATTCCACGCCGTCACCGCTGCTACACATACCGTCCGCCGCAGCAGCAGCAGCCGGTGCTGCAGTTGGTGGCGGCAAAGGTGATCCGCCTTTTAGAGCTCGTCGTGGCTGCTGTAGTCATCATCAGAAGTGGAGGTCGCACCCGAGTCAGAGGGGCCCCCAGTCTGGCCGTAAACTTTGGAGATGATGGGGTTGCAGACGCTCTCAACATCCTTGAGCTTATCTCTGAGCTCCTCGCCGTCTGCCTCAGGGTTTGCGACGAGCCATTCGTTGGCCTCGGTGATCTTGTCCATGATGGTCTTCTTGTCATCGTCCTCAATCTTGTCCGCGAGTTTGTCCTTGTCCTCAACCGTAGACCGCATGCTGTGCAGATAGCCCTCAAGGGCGTTGCGGGCGTCGACGCGCTCCTTCGTCTTCCGGTCCTCGTCAGCGAAACGCTCGGCTTCCTGGATCATGCGCTCAATCTCATCAGGAGTCAGCCGGCCCTTGTCATTTGTGATGGTGATCTTCTCGCTCTTCCCTGTGCCCTTGTCAACAGCGCTGACGTTCAGAATACCGTTCCTGTCCACGTCGAATGTCACATCGATCTGCGGAACGCCCCGTGGCGCCGGCGGGATGCCAGTCAGCTCAAACTTGCCCAGCAAGTGGTTGTTCTTCGTCATTGGCCGCTCACCCTCGTACACCTGTAGTTACAAGCATAGACAAATAGCCACACTTAGCTGAGGACTACACACAGCCGCAGCCCCAAACATTTATGGAGCGCAGCCAAGCTGGCATATCTCGAACAATGGCAAACATGCATGGTAGGTTCCGAAAAAGAATACTGGAGCCAGAAACGCACAGTTAGGGGAAACAGCTCCTTGCTCAGTCCTTACCTGAATGAGCACAGCGGACTGGTTGTCAGAGTAGGTCGAGAAGGTCTGAGTCTTCTTCGTGGGGATGACGGTATTCTTGTTGATGACCTTAGCCATGACACCTCCCGCGGTTTCAATACCGAGAGTCAGGGGGGTGACATCGAGCAGCACCATGTCCTGGGTGCCCTCCCCTGAGAGAATACCAGCCTGGACAGCTGCACCGTAAGCGACGGCCTCGTCGGGGTTGATGCCTCTGTTCGGCTCCTTGCCGTTGAAGAACTCCTTGATAAGCTGCTGAATCTTCGGGATACGAGTAGAACCACCGACCAGCACAATCTCGTCGATCTGTGACTTCTTCAAGTCTGCGTCCTCCAGCACCTGCTTCACCGGCTTCAGAGTCTTCTGGAAGAGGTCGGCGTTCAGCTCCTCGAACTTGGCGCGCGTCAGCGTCTCAGAGAAGTCCTCACCGTCAACAAGACCCTCAACTTCCACGGTAACCTATACAGAGAAACAGCCAGAACGCTGCAGCTACACTCCTGACCCAGCAGCAGCCAGCATTACAGGGTAGCTATTCCTAAACAAGCAAAACCATGCAATATCATAGCAAACTCCATGGCTCCCGACGAGTCTCCAATTGGAAATGGGTCAACTCTCAGCTTCGCCAGCCTGTCATTCCAAGCCTTTGTGTGGATTAACGCACCTGATGGGATGAGGAAAGAGCTCTCTTCGCACGTTCAACTTCTCTGCGGAGGCGCTGGAGGGCGCTCTTGTCCTTCCGCAGGTCCTTGTTGTACTTTTTCTGGATGATCTTCAGGAAGTGGTCCATGACCCTCTGGTCGAAGTCCTCACCACCCAAGTGAGTGTCACCTGCACGCCCATCAAGCACCACCAAAGACTTCCCCTTGAGTCTCAACGGTGTCTTTGATTAAACGTAGACCAATGACAGCTTCCCAGCTAATCTGAGGGCTGCAGGAATTAGGTAGGAACCTACCGGAGGTGGCGTGGACCTCGAAGACGCCGTTGTCGATGACCAGCACTGAGACATCGAAGGTACCACCACCAAGATCGTACACAAGAATGGTCTTTTCGTCCTTCTTGTCCAGACCGTAGGCAATGGCTGCGGCGGTGGGCTCGTTGATGATACGGATGACGTTGAGGCCAGCGATGGCACCAGCGTCCTTAGTGGCCTGGCGCTGAGCATCGTTGAAGTAGGCCGGGACAGTGACCACGGCGTTCTTGACTTCTTTGCCCAAGTAGCTCTCCGCAACTTCCTTCATCTTTCCCAGAACCATAGCTGAGACTTCTTCGGGTGCGAGCTCCTTGGGCTGGCCCTTGACCATGACGCGGATGTATGGCTTTCCATCCTTGTTGATGATTTCGTACGGCAGCAGCTCCTTGTCGCGCTGCACTTCCTTCTCGTTGAAGCGGCGCCCAATGAGCCTCTTGACGTCGAAGATGGTGTTGGTTGGGTTGATGGCAGCCTCATTCTTGGCAGCCTCGCCAATCTTGCGTTCATCTTCAGCAAAAGAAACGTAGCTGGGAGTAATACGGTTGCCCTGGTCATTGGGAATGATGTCCACGCGGCCCTGTCGGTACACTCCGACGCAAGAGTACGTAGTACCCAGGTCAATACCGATCACCACATCCTTCACTGCAAAAAATCAGATGCAGCAACAAATGCAGCAGCAGTTCACGGACGCCAAAATAGTGGAAAACAAGCACAACAGAAGCACCAACCAGTGTCCCCACAGCTCACACACACGGCGGGGAGGTCCCCGAAAGCGCAAAGACACTTCAAGCGAAGCGCGTCATCGCTTTCTACAGCCTGTTCCTCAATTAAAGAAACACTTCGTATGAAACGACGTAGAAAACGCTACGCTGGGCACCCCGCCCGCCCCAGCCCAAGGCCGCCAAGAGCGTCAAGTGGAGAACACCAACGGGAGCTCTCTACAGGTCTGAGGGAGATAATATTGCCAACTGAAGCTCAAACTAGCCGTAAACTAGAGTAGGCCGCCGCAGATGACAACGAAAAACCGTCAAGACGAATGAATTCATGGAGGAGCCCCCGAGACAATGGAGCTCGTCAGGATAAAACAAACGGACCCAAGCAACCCTAGCTCACCTTTTCCGTCACCCTCAGTGTCATCACCTCTCACAGCATGGGGATAGTGCGAAAAGAGAGAAAGAAGGAAAAAACAAAACGGCAACGCCGCCGCCCCGCGAAACCCTACCCCCATTGTGTAGAGGACGTGAGGACGCGCGCTGGGGTCGCCTGGCTGCGATGCTTGAGGCTGAAAGGCCAAATAAATACCACAATTTATTTAAATCAAGAGTAATAAACCCCTGAACATATATCAGACACACAAACAAGCACATACGCCACAACCAGCAGTCCGCAGGGGGACGCCGACAGGCGGTGAGACGGCGCTGCCCTTGTGCTCTGCCAGGCTACCCCGGTCGGGCTTGGGGGCTGCTGCAGCGTTTTTTGCTTGCTTTTTTTAGCGTTTTAAACTGTTTCTAGTAAAATAAATCGGAATCGAAACAGAAATGCAGTTTTTAGTCAATTTACAAGGTATATGATGCGCTTTGAGCCCTGTCGGCGCCGTGCAACCCAACCCTAACCTAGGGGCAGACCGCACCCTCATCCTTCGCTGACCTGTTGTTGCTTCACAACACTAAAGTCGCGTTTTTATCTTTAATTAATTTATTTGTTTTGATTTGTAATATAATTTTTTGTTATTAAGATACAGACAGCAGAGACGCAGCGCCTCTCACCAACCAGGGATGAGTTCCCCAGCAGGCCTCATGTCCCGGCACAGGTGCTGTTCGTTGCTGCCGTTGGTAAGGAATTTACGGTGTGCTTAGCGCTATTAAAAATTTTCCCCATTTATTCATTAATTTGTTGTGCATTTGTGGGCCCAACCAGCAATTCAAGAAGACCAAGAGCAACGCGCGGCCCCTGCCCCCTTCCCCACGCACGTAAACTGCAACTTCAACAGCAAATTAGGTGCAAAACAGTACATTCTAAACCATAGACCCTAGTATCCTCACTAAATTGAAAACGGCCAGTCTGCATGAGAGGAGGCCATACGGTGTGCGGGGGCCTCAAATATGGTTGCTGGATGTTAGCGTACCGCTTCATCTATCTTTGTAAATAACGGGAACGATGCTTGTAGAGCTCATTTCCACGCTTCCTTGAAGTGGCAGAGAATAATAGCCCAACAGCGCTGTTTGACATCCTCAACCACCACTAGCCAATCGTGCTGCGCCAACGGATCCCAAAACAAAATGAGCAGAAGGCCTCACTCTTAATTTATTTGCTGATAAAGAATGACACCTAATAAATGCTCAATCTGAATTTTGACAGGGGTCGAGAGCTGACTGCAGCACCAGCAATGAAAGTAGGCAGCAGCGGCACATCGAGCGGCAGAAGTAGCAACAGGATCAGCGGGCCTCATGGTGTAGGGCTGAGGGTTTGGGGCCTAGCATCGAGGTTAACTGGCAGAATCGACTAAGCTCGTTGACCCGGGAAACAACTTTACAACGAATAAACGGATCGGTAATTTAATGTGTATTGCAGCACTTCAGTGGGTTTCGCAGAGTGACGCACTACTTCGCCATTGGAAAAAAGGTTAGGCGACTAAACGCAAATTTCTAATTCCAATAATGTATTGTTGTACAGAAGGCGTGTCTAAACGCGCCTAGACGTATATATATTGGCGTAGGTTCTCGCCTAAAATGCACGTATGCAAATATTGTACTTGCAGGCGAGCATAATTAAATTCACCTCGATTTTCATTCATATGTAATGTGCTCAACACAAATAGGAGTACATAGTATGCATCTACTCATATAGCCAATACAAAGCGAATGCACCTTTGCATTGCTTCCGAAAATTTTAGAAGAAAAGATAAAAAACGAACGTGGAGGCCGTTAGGCGAATGACCAGGAGCAGGCCTGGATCCCAAGACAACGAGGTGATACTTTTGGTCAATTTGGTCCGCTTAGGAAAATAGGCATGGAATAAGAAATAATGAGCCGCATTGACGAATTAAAATAACTGTGGGTTGTGCCAAAACAAGTGTGAAAGTAGACTAGACGCAGAAATGACTATTCACGGTGGCTGTTCAGAGTTCTACTCGGTAACTGCATTCAAAAGCAGTAATACAGAGTAGTTACAGGCAGTCGGCTATCGTTCGCCGCTGTTACACTATACTTGGCTTTCTCCTAGTTTTCATTTATTCAAAGTTTGTGTGCTGAATTAAAAGGATGCTCATGCATGCAGTGCAGTTCAGACAGTGTACATAGGGACAGAATGTAGATGTATGCTTCGTGCATAGCACTAAAACAAATACACTGACACACAGGTATACACCATATATATATATATATATATTGTATGCACCATGCGCGCCCCGTGTCATTTCCGCGCCTAGACTAGTAATGATAAGAATAGCTGCACCACGGGGACAGCAAAACTGAACTATTCCCCGTTGGATTCAAAAGTCAGTTCGTACTGGGGCTGTAGTATAGCGATGCAATTAGCTAGTCGCCAACTTTTGAATGCCCGCCATTTAAAAGCTCGCTCCTTAATAATATCCTGCTTGCCCGCTGCTGGTTGCGAACTAGCGGGCCGTTCGCTAGCTGTCAGCTAGCTGTACCTCAAAGTAAGAAAGCCGCAGTTGCAGCGCAGCGACAGATGGCTTGCTCATCAATTCCTGAACCCACGTTCAAATTCAGCACCCGCGGTGCATTCAAAGCTGCCGCCCCAGCGCTTGTCGAAAGATAAGGCACTGAACAATAAACGAATTTAAATTGTTTTCTTGAGTTCGTCGGCTCTTCCGTTCCCTTTCCTCGGTTGATACTGTCTTGTTTGGCTTATCATGTCCCACTTGGCCTCATTTGAGCAATGAGAAGTGAAGTGCGCTTGTCCAAACCACGGCAACGCCTTTTGCTAAGTAAAAGCATATTTTCTTCCTTGTACTTTCCCAGCGTTACACAATTCAATCGCTAATGATGCAAACAGATGCACAATAAGGGGGCTAGCAGTTTCTCTGAAAGTGTATTGCAGCGTAACTTGTAGCGCACGCCTGCCGAACTTTTCATTGTATTTGAGGTTGCCCTAAGCTAATGCACGCTTTTTCTTGTGGCTTCCACACTAAGCATAGGCTCATGACTGACGGACCTTATTTACTGCTTGCAGCTCTAAGTAGAACATCTTACTCTTCATATTTTGGAGCCCAGTGACATCAATGAAACACAGCACCAAACCCAGTAGGTCTGTAAGCCGTAAGTGCGACTGTTGCGCAACCGCGGCGGGTGAAAGAAAAAGAGCAAACAAACAAACAAATCAATCGATAAATAAACAAATCAATCAATGCAAAAGAATAAAAACAAACGAACGAACAGGTACAGAAACAAAAGACAGATATCATACAAGAGAACCGCCTGCGTTGCTCGAGACTGGAGGTGCCCTACAGCCCAAACTGTTAAGCTAGTGCAACGACAGCAGTAGCAGCACCTGCTGCTACTGCCGCTACAACTAGCATTCTAAGTAAAATCATGAAAAGACGACCATCCTTAAATCAAACAAACAGATACACGATTACGAAAGGCATGAACACAAAAGCAACCCTCCTGCAAAAAACACAGGAAGCAGGACGCGCCGATACGTAAATATCCTTATTTCCAACTACTATGCATCTATACATTATGTAATATATATCTACACATGTCGCGTAAAGACTAATTTCTTGTATATGGTGAACATGTATATTTATACATGTCTTCGTGTGCTAAAAATTACCTAGGTACTTTCGTACGCATTCATGTATGCATTTACGCATGCATATTTAAATAAGTGCTTAACTTTGTGTAACTATCCACAAATATACACAAAAGTGCGCAAAAAGCGAAACGCAAAAAGCAAAAAGCAACCTCTCTCGAGACCTAGCTGTACAAATTCATGCATGTACATACAGACTCTCCATACATACATATACAAACATATTCACATATTACATTGCATGTTTCTTGTCTACTTGCCTATATGTATACATATATACATAGGTTACTGTATATAAACATGCAAGCGCTTGGGGTCCTCTGTGGCCCTAGACAAGCAGTGTGATTAGGCTGTTTTCCCTCTTTGCGGGGCCCTCCGTGTGTCTCTATGACACAACTATGCAGTATATTGATAATACTCATTATATATGCTCCTTCAATATTGGACAAATATGTATTCACAGCACCTGACAAGCTGCAGCACTAGCTGCGCATACACCTAAAGCCTGCAGCCTTTTCTCAGCTTGCGCAGCTCTCTTGCTGCTGCTGCTGCTGCTGCTGAGTGGGCCTGGCTATGCCGAAGGCGTCCGCTAGGCGGTAAAGCTCCTGCAAGTAGTAGCAGCACAGCGAGACCACTGCAGCAGAATCAGGCAAACACAGAATCCAAGCTAGGCGAAAGCGAAAGCACACCTAAAACAAAAGCACAGTAGTACAAGCGCATGGACGAAACAGCAGCAGCAGCAACAGTAACATACCTCAACAAACAGATTTGGTATTTTGTGTCCCTCTTTAACAATTGACGGATCGAAAACAATTGAGAAAAAGACACGACCAGCGTAAGAGACGACCTCCACCTGCAGCCACAAAACACAGCGCATGCACTGCTGCTGCTGCTGCTGTTGCTGTTGCTGCTGCAGAAGCTGTGAGAAGAACGTGCAGCAATGCGGTGCACACCACGAGAGGCCTGTTACCTGGGGAATCAAATTCGGGTACACGACCTGCACCTCCGTTATCTCACAGCCGCAGAAATAAACAGGAGCCTGCAGCAGCAGCAGCGGCAGCAGCGACGACAGCAAGGTGAAACTGCGAATATCTTCAGTGCGGGGATACCCGCAGACGACAAACGCCTTACTATTATTTCTTAATTTATAAATTAAATAATAATAGTAGATACGATGAGCAGCAAGCCCATGCCGTGTACCAGTGCAGCAGCGGCATTAATAATTGAAAAAGACAGATGAACAACCTAAGCAGCTAGAAGCAAGCCAAAAGACTGGCCATTTATGGAAATAACGGGACGGCACCGAATTTGAAATATTTCTCGACTGAGTGATTTGAAAAACGACAAAGAAGCATCAAGACGCACTGTGTAAGCGGGCAGGTTGGAGAAGACAACGCTGTGCCTGCTGAAGAGGCCTTCTGCTGCTTTGCAGATAAACTGCCGCGGCATCAAATGGCCCACTACCCGCTGAGTTAAAAAGTCGGCGGCAGCTTGCCGACAACGCTTCAGACGAAGAGTGGCCTGCAGCAGCAGCAGCAGGAGCGGGTTGAAACGCGTATCGCGTATGGTATGAGCAGCCAAAGCTGCCTCCAGCAGCAGCAGCAGCGGAAGCAGCAGCAGCGGAAGCAGCAGCAGCAGTGCAAAGGCCGAGCCGCCTCCATCGAAAGCAACCGGAAAGCAGTGCTGCTGCTGCTGCTGTTGCTGTTGGTGCTGCTGTGGCAGCACTTTCAGGCACACGTACACTCACCTTTCTGACTCTACCAAGCCTTTCCCTCGGGTCCCTGCTGTCGGCGGGCAGCGCCAAAGAGGTCAGAGCAAATCTGTTGCGCAGGAGCAACTGAGACCAGTCTGGCAATTCTCGAGTGCGCCTGAAAAACAAAACAGACAAAAAAAGGAGTCCAACGATGCATGCATGCAGGCTTCTCAAAGCCCCAAGGCGCATGCGCGGTGCACGCACAAGGACAGCCCCAAAGACCAGCTGGGGCCATTACTTGTAGGCATGCAGCAGCCTCCACCCACAATAGAAAGAAGAAGCAGACACAATGCAGGTGCAGCAGCAACACACTGGAGCGACAGCAGCACAGCAGCAATGGCAGCAGCTGCTGCTGTGCTGCTGCACTCAGCTTGTGTGTGCCGCCGACCTGTAGAAGGCACACGCTAGCAGCACCCTTGGCAGATTTGCTGCCGGCGCCTGCGAAAACTGGAAGTCCCCCTGGAGCTCGCAGTACCTGCAGAAAAACGGAGGCAGCAGCAGCAGCAGCAGCGTCTGCAGCAAAAGGAGCACGATCACGGCCTGCTCGTGCACAGAGAAGCAGCAGCAGCACGAGAAGCTGCAGCGCGTGGTGAACACGGATCGTCGCAGCAGCAACAGCGGCACGAGAAGTTGCAGCGCGTTGAGCAGACGGAAAGCCGCAGCAGCAACAGCAGCATGAGCCACAGCAGCAGCAGCAGCGGCGGACGGACCGCCTAACAGCGCCTGTGAAAGCCGCAACGAAAATGTCATTGAGGGTTGCGCGTGCTGCCTTTTTTATTTCCCTTACAAACTCCAGACTCAGGGGAGCAGCAGAAGCAATCTGCAGGCAGCAAAAGTGAAGAAGTAAATAAGTAAAGGAGATAAAGAGATAGCCCAAACGGCAACAAGCAAAAGAAAGAAAAGAATTGAAATTCATTTATTGGTAAGTGACTGCAACAATAAAGACATAAAAAACGAAAAGAAGACAAAGAAGCCGAGGAGGAGGGGGAACAAATCCAGAGACAAGCAGCAGATGAAGAGATAAATAAACAAACAAAAAAGCCAAAATAAAAAAAAGAAGACCATTTGAGGTAAAAGACAAGAGAAAAAAGGCAATAAAGGACAAAGAAAAGGAATAAGACAAAAGCTGACTAAAAGAAATGCAAAATGGCCTCACCCGCTGCTGCCTAGCCCACTGCAGCTTATCTCTTTCCGCTGCTGTGCCCGTCAGCGGAGTGCATGCATCTCGCGCAATTAAAAGAGCAGCAGCAAATGCACGAAAAGAGCCCAGCAGCAGCAGCACGCAGCCCCACACCGCGCTCGCCAGCCGCCGCGGGGCCCGCAGCAGCAGCTTCGTCTGCAGCAGCAACAGCAGCAACGCGAACACTTAAGCGCCACAAATTAAGAAACTAAAATTTTAATTGTCTAATCATTACACCTGACTACAGACACAAATACTGGCTGCAACATGCATGCACAAAATGTATGCACGCAGGTGCACGTGGACACCTGCAGGAAGCTAGCCTGCAACCCTAAGAGTTAAACCCTAAACTCTAAACCCTTGCACCAAGAAAAGCATCAGCAGCAGAACTGCAGCACAATGCCTCGTCCCTAGCTTCCTATCTGTGCATGCATTCCTGAGGCCTCTGTTTGGGGTGTACGTACACCTCAGGACGTACCCAACGCAGCAAATGAGCCGTCGGCGTCGGCAAGAGACACAAATGTTCATCTGCCGCTGTTGCAGGACCTTTCAAAACCGGAGGGTCAGGCCACTCATTCAGGGGAATTCCCTGAGAGTCCGTCAGCAGCCGCAGGCCCACCTGCGAGCAGCAGCAGCAGCAGCAGCAGCTAGTAATAAACCAGCGGTCCAGCTGCAGCTGCAGCAAATACGCTGCGCAAGACGCGCAAGACGCCTTATTGGCAACACCAGCTCGCTGCCGCAACACTGCAGCAAGAGGACCAAACAGCAGCCACGATCAGCAGCAGCAGCTGCGCAGCCACAAAGTGAGGTGCAGCAACGTAAGCAAAAACAGCAGCAGCAGCAGCAGCAGCTAACTTCAATGAGGGAGACCCCATCCCCAATGCAGTGATCGGCGCGCAGAACGATGCAGTGTCTCGGCAGCTCTTTGAGTCCATCTCTTTGATCTACTCCTCGCCTCTCTTCCTCAGTCCTGTGCTGCCTCGAGTCCCACACCTCTTCCCCCTCCTGCTGCTGCTGCTGCTGCTGCGCTGCGGCGTTGCGCAGCAGCCACAGCTGCCAGCGAGGCCTGCTGCTGTCGCAGGGCTGACTCATCACCCACTCTATGCACAAGTGCAGCTCTTTGCTGTCGCGCAGCAGCAGCCGACGCAGGTGAGCCGCGGGCTGTACAGACACCTGCTGCCACCGCGGGTACAGAGCGTTCAAGATGGGCACGCTGCTGAACTCAGAAGAAAACAAAAACAAATAGTTATACTACATTAGAAATAAATAATAAAAAGAAATTAAAAATAAGTAGCAGAAGAAATTATAAAAGGAATCCATAACAGGCGTATCTGATGTACACGCAACGCAACCCTAGATACAACATGAACCTGCACTCTGCTGGGCATACACCCGAACGGCCGACGCGGCAACAGCGAAACCAACAGCAGCAGCAGCAGCGCCAGAAGCAGCAGCAGCAGCAGCAGTAGCAGCAGCAGGGGCATTCTTGCCTGAATCTGTGGAAGCCGGCAAGCCTGTCGAGGAGGCGGAGAAGGCTTTGGGTGTCTGGCAGTGTCGGGGTGTACATACAGGCGGAAACAATGTGGTGCTGCACTTTGGTTTCTGCGGGGAAGCAGCCAGCAGCAAGATTGAAAGAAGAGAAGCTCATGCGTCTGGGGAGCCGCTGCCGCTGCGCTGCTGCTGGCAGCAAACTGTCTTGTTCTGCTTCGGAATCTGCTTCGTCTGCAGAGTCGTAGGCGCATTCTGCGTCGCCCTCCAGCCACCGGTAGCCCTCCGCGCTTCTGCTGCTGCTGCTGCTGCTGCCGCTGTCCCGCGAGCCCTCCGAGCCCTCGCTGTCGGCTGTTGAGAAGCTTTTGCTGCTGCTGCCGCTGCGGCTGCTTCGCGGCCGCCGGCGGGGCGCCTCCGCAGCAGCAGCGGGGCACTCGTCCTCGTCAGCTGCTGTAGTGCTTGCTGCTGCTGCTGCAGCAGCAGCAGGGGCAGCGCCGGCTGCTGCACCTCCCGGGGAGACGTCGTCGGACTTTGGCAGGCGCTTGCTCTTGCTCCTGCTGCTGCTGTGCAAAGGCCGCTGCTGCTGCTGCTGCTGCTGCTGCAGGGCCGATGCAGCGCTGCTGCAGCGAAACACTCTCAACCAAAACCAAATGCCATAAACAACAACCCCACCAACGCACAGCAGCAGCAGCAGCAAAGACTGCTGCACCAGCGCGGCCACAGCCGTCATGGTGCCCAGGGCACCCGCCCCAATCGCCGCTCCCCTTCTCTTCCCCATTGTAGGGTTTAGGGTTTAGGGTTTGGAAAATGCATGCAGTCCAAAAAGGCTCCTGGGCAAAGCGACGGCAAAAGGCGCTCAGAAAGGCAAACGCAGCCAGCACTACGCGAGGCAAACAAGTCTTCTTTCCTTTGCTGCTGCTGCTTTTGCTCATTCAGCTGCTGCTGCTGCTGCTGCTGCTAGTGGCGTGTTTGAGCGACCGCGCCTTCACATATATAAGCTCAGATACGGAAAGTGCTTGCGTTGCAGCACCTTTGTTTTCTGCGGGCTGAAATGCAAGCAGCGCTGCCGTTGCTGCTGCTGCTGCTGCTCCTGCTGCTGCTGCTGCTGCGAGCACCACCGCCGCAGCAAACGGGACTGGAAGTGAGGCGCCCAGGAGTCCCCCAAGCGAGTAATGAGCAAAGACAGGAAGAGACAGAACAGAGCAGCGCATGCACAAAGAGAGGCAGCGGGAGCGTGGTGGGCGGGGGCCAGTGGAGGGGCGTGGCTATGTGCACAGCGGCCGTGCGCAGCCCAAACCTTAATCCTTCTTGAACAGAAACAAATAAAGAAAAGCATTCAAACCTGCTGACTTCACCTTTTGGTACTTTTCAGACACTTCTAGGCGAAGATCAGAGCCATAGGTGGCACCAAAGCCGAGGGGGCCCCAGGGAGAGGTCTGGCGCCGCTGCTGCGCTGCTCGATAGCCCCGAGTGGTCTATTGCTTATCTAATTGAAGATGCTTTGAAGTATTTGCATTTATTTTTCAGTGCTTTATATTATTTAGAGTTAACTTCTGGTTTCCCCGGAACGCGCAGCGAAGGAAGCCCGCTCGATCCTGCATGCGCAACCAACACGGCCAGGGCTGCCTGTGGGTTCGGCAATCTAGCTTTTTCGCCTACAGTTTTAGCTTTGCTTTAATTATTCTTAATTATTTAATGTAGAGGGTAAACAGAAAGGACTCAAGGGGCGGCGGCCTCTAACCAACACGGGCGTGGCAGCAGCAGCAGCAGCAAGAAGCAGCAGCGCCCGCGGCCAAAGAAGCCACCACCGCAGCTGCAGCAGGAGCTGGCGCCGCTGCAGGTGCCTCTCCTCCCAGACTGCCGCCACTGCAGCAAACACAGCAGCAACAGCAGCATCGATGGCGGACGCGGAGGCGGGCGGAGGCCTGTTTGGGGTTGAGGAGGAGCTTCTTGACGAGCCGCAGACGCAGCAGCAGCTGGAGCAGCAGCAGCAGCTGTCGGAGGAGTTTCTGGATGAGGCTACGAGACTAGCGGGGGAGCAGCAGCTGCTGCAGGCCGAGAGCCTGCGGCTCCAGGCTGCGCAGGAGGAACTGCAGCGGCAGGAGCTGCAGCAGCAGGAGTACCCTGCGGAGGAGACGCAGCAGCACAGCAGCAGCAGCCCGGAAGCAGCTGTTGCTCGCCGAGAAAAGAAAGCCAAGAAGGAAAAGGGGGAGCGGAAGCACAAGCACAAGCACAAGCACAAGCACAAGCACAAGCACAGGGAGCAGCGCAAAGCAGCAGCAGCAACCGACGCAGATCCAGATAACTTAGATGGATTTATTGAAAGAGATCCAGAAGCAGAAATTCATGAAGATCCTGATGACATTGTGCCGGTGGAGGGCGGCATCGACAGCGACGTGAGCACTTGGGGTGTACATACACCGCACCCGCCACCCCAGCTACTTCCCCCTCGCCATTTCAGATCACTTCACTTTTAAAAATGTTCCATTCATAAGTGCGAACAGTTTTCTCCAGGGCCCAGCAGCAGCGCCTGCCCTCTGTTTCTTGGTTTAGGGTTTAGGGTTCAGGGTTTCGCGCATGAAGTGTACGGTGTAGGGTTTAGGGTTTATGTTTTAGAACAGAGGTTCCGAGCTCAGTTCTGAAGATCCTTGGGGCCTAAGTGTAGGGTCGTGGGCACAGTGTAGGGTTTGGGGTTTAGGGTTTAGGGTTTAGGACAAAGGTGGCGAGTCGAAAGCTGAGGGTCCTTGGGGCCTGGGTCCAGGGCGTTGCGCACACAGTGTAGGGTTTAGGGCTTAGGGTTTAGGGTTTAGGGTTTAGGGCAAAGGTAGTGAGTTTAAGACTGAAGATTTTCGGGACCAGGGTCTAGGGGGTTGCTGGCTTGTAGCCTTGAGGAGGTTTGGGGCTTGGGGTTTAGGGTTTAGGGTTTAGCACTATTTGGAGGCTTTCTGTGAGCACACTGTTTTCTCTTTGAAATGGCTGCTCGCTACTATGGCCTTTCTTTGCTGCCGCTGCTGCTGCTGCTGCTGCAGACGAAAGGAGCCTGGAGGCAGGGGAGCCAGCCACTGCAAAGCTCCAAATGCTGGACACTGTCTGTACAGAGCTCGTCAAGGTAAACTCAAACCCCTGAGTGGTGGGGTTGTTGTTATGGGGCTTTTTTCACAAGAGTTTTTGTGAGCAGCCCCGAATTAGGGCCACGTGGGAGGTCCTAGCACTGTCTGGCTGCATGGATGCTTGCATGCGCGCACACGATATGGGTTTGCTGCTGCTGCTGCGCTGCTGCTGGCGCTTTGTGGACTGATGCTGAGGTGTACCTACGCTGAATTTGGGTCGAAAAGTCTTCCTGTTGCTTGGCTTTCTAGAAGCGTGAGGTGTGTATCCACTTGACGATGTGCTCATCTGTCGTGTTTTGTAGAAGGCCTCTTTAAAGTATTGCTGCTGCTTTGCTGATGCTGTCGCTGCTGCTGCTGCTGAGCGGCTGTTGTGGCTGCAGCCAAAATGGCGTCACTGGTTCGTTTCCGAAGGCTGCTGCCAGGTGAGGGTGGGGTTGTTGTCATTGCTGCTGCCGCGGGTGCATGCATGTTGTTTAGTATTGCTTTTCCCTGCCTCTGCTGGCAGCAAAAGACAGACAAATATACCAATAGAGAAGCAAATAAGTATTCGTCTTTCATCTTTGCAGGTCATTGCTGGCTGGCTTGCCCCCTTTAAAGATGACAGTTTGCCCAATTTTTCGCTGAGACGGAGGCTGCTGGAGGTCTTGGGGCAAATGCCAATCACTGCACAGGACTTGGCCAACAACGACTTGGGCAAGGTCTTGGTGCTTCTCTGGCAGCACGACGGTAAACCCTAAGCCCTAAACCCTAAACCCTAGACTCCGAATTTGACTGCCAGGGACCCACAAACCCGATAAATGGATTTACTGCGGGGCTCCTCCGACACGCGCAGCTTGCATGCAATACGGAGAGCGGAGGTTTAGGGTTTGGGGTTTCAGGCCAGGGGCATCGTGTTAAGGCTGTAGGTTAAGAGTCAGGACGCTTAGGTTAAGGGTTTAGGGTTTAGGGTTTAGAAATTGGCCTTTTTATGTGTTTTGCGCCAGATGAGACGGAAAGCAATCGCCAGCTTATAAGGGGGCTCATTCAAAAGTGGATGCGCCCAGTGCTGGGCCTGGGCTCAAGGTAAACAGTTTTGCTGCTGCTGCGGCTGCTGCCGCAAACGAGCTTTCAGCAGCTGCATCTTAGTTGCTGCTGTTGCTGCTGCTTTTGTGGCCCTTGATGGGCATTCGGCTACCACTTGGCGCACTGTGCTCCTTTTAATGGCCGCTACGGCCTAAAGTACGCCATTGCTGCAGCTCTTGCTGCTGCTGCTGCTGCTGCTGCTGCTCAGTCACCGGCAACTCATCTCAGAGAGGGAAAGAGCTTTCGAGGCAAACGATTCTGACCTTCAGCAGAAACTGGTTAAGGTGAGTTGACTGCTGCTGCAGCAGAAACTGAAACTGCTGCTACATCCAAAACTGCAGCAACTGTTCATGCTGTTGGTGTTCTGTCTCAAGGCTTTTCTGTTAGATGGTATGCGCTGCTGCATCTGGCTCCATAATCGATGCTGGCATGCATAAAGTTGTATTATTTTTCGAACTTTTTGTCAGCATAGACCCAGTAAGCATGCAGAAATTGCATTTGTACGCGTCGGCTTGTCTGTTCCTGTTTCAGGCCGCCCAGGCAGCCAAGCAGTTCCGAGAGAAGGCAGAGGGTGCGTGCAGTTTTTGGGGTGTATGCGCAACTTTATGTTCTTTTGTTTGTGCTATTTATGTTTATTCGGGGTGTATGTGCAACTTGGGTGCATGCGCAACACTACACTGTGTAAATTTCATAATCAGCCTTATGCGAACTTTGTGTTCAAACGATGTTTTCGAGTGTGTGTACAGCTGTGCCGATGTGCCATATCGCTGCGCCTCTGAAGGGCCACAGAGTTCCAATAAAGTCCTTTTCTGTTTCTTTTTTTGCAGCTGAGAAAGCAGCAGAACAACAGGCAGAGAAGAGGCGGCGAACTGCCCGGATCCCTGTTAATAGAGGCCACAACTTCCTAGTAGGCTGCTTTTGCTGCGGCTGCTGCTGCAGCACTGGCGGCGTCGACATTAGTTTCGTTGCTCTTGCTGCTGTCGCGTGTGCTGCTGCTGGTGTGGTCGCTGCTGCTGCTGCTGCGGCTTCGTTGTTGGATGTGGGGCCGTTTGGAAGCAGATGAACTCTGCCCTTATTTAAAAGCTACATCTAATCCTCCAATAGGTCTTCTGTTGTGACAATATGGCATAAATATTAATTTTTTCTGTAGACCCCTAACCCCCTTGGTGTTTTGCGTTTGTCTTTATATTCTTTATTTAACTGTACTTTTTTTTGGTTCTGCAGATACAACCGAGGTCCCAAATAGACTTGGACGAAGCAGAAGGCAAACAGCAGCAAGCGTCCCAGGTGAGCACAGAGCTCTGAGCATCAGCGGCAGCAGCAGCAGCAGCAGCAGCAGCTGCTGCTGCTGCTGCCTGCCACGGGGCACTTTTGTCTTGCTAGTGGAGGAAGTTGCGCCGCTCCGCTGTCGTCACGGTTGCTGCTGCTGCTGCTAGTACTTTTGCTGCAGCAGCTCTTGCACTTGCTGCTGCTGCTCTTGCTGCTGCGTTGGTACAGCTAAACAAGGCTCTCCGTATTGGATCTCGGGTGCCGCGTCGGCCCACAAAAGCAACGAAAGTTTCTATAGAAGGCCGCGGGCTCTAACCGAAGCAGCAGCAGCAGCAGTTACTGCTGGCGCTGCTGTTGGGCCGCAGCGTAACGGCGAAGGTTCTTCACCTCCGGGCCATCCAGGGCTCAGCTGCAGCAGGCGCTGGGACAGAATGCTGCAGCAGCAGCAGTTGCTGCCACTGTTTGTTCTTTGTCAGCCGCAGCAGCAGCAGCTCACGTTGATGATACGTCTGGGCTGCTGCAAAGGCAGGGGCCTCTATTAGTGGGTTTGGCTGGACAGGGGGGCCCCTCCTGGTGGCCCTGGCGGTGCTGCGGTGTATGAACAACTCAGCATGGGGCTTTTGGCTGTATGGTTTGGCTTCGGCTTGCCGGACCATGTGCCTTAAACGAAGGTTGTCTTGACTGGTTTTTGCAAAGAATATGCGCTAAAAGGACTATTCCTTTACGTGCACTTGCCACCAAAATGTTTGTAGTAAGGGATGCAAAAACGCAAACAAGTAGTGTGTATATGAAAATATAAATATACACATTAAGTTATACACTACTCGTGTCCGTACCGTTGAATACACGTGGGCATTCAGTAGCAGATTTAGGCGGAGCTGATCGAACACAGAAGAACCGGCCTGCGCGCCGAAGGGCAAATATATAAACATTCTTGTATAAGTGTATTACAAACAAACGCGAGAATTCACGGCCAGTTGCGCACGCATTTATGCCACCGCCTACTGCTACTACTACTGCACATCTAGGGGCCCGTGTACAGCTTAAATGCCTCCTTACCAGCTTCGGTACTTTCACTCCCTTTAGTAACATGTATTGCTTTCTAGAAGTATCCACAATCGTGTGGGTTTCGATGCAGAAAGCGTTGACCGACAACAAATCCGTGGGACAGGCACTGCAGCTAACAAGAGCTACCAGGGTCTTGGTAAGCTTACCATGAGCTGCCCAGCCCCCCCATGAATCTCAAGTGCATAAACAACAAATTCACGAACAAAAAGTTTATTATTACTTCAAGAGAAGAACAGCATTCAGTGTGCAGCGCAGAGAGGTCCGCTGCTGTACCGGTGGTGCTGCAGCCGGCGCTCCGGTCGAACCACAGAGGTTCGCGTGTCTCTTCTGTAGTGTAGCAAGAAAAACTTATAATAACATATGAATTGCACTTTATATGAGTTCCAAAGCCTTAACTTCAGAGTCTGAACTCCCCGAAAACCCCGCAGCAGCGCGGGCCCGCAAGGCCCGTGCATGCTCTGTGTTGCGTGGCTCTGAGCCCTCTTTGTACTGCTTCTTTTGGTGCTTCACTGTGTGTTGTTTTGGTTTACATTTCAAACTAGATTTATTCTCTAGCTGCCTATCGAAGAAGCCGCAACCACACACCTGCGTCTGGAGCCGCCGCCGCCGCAGCATCAGGAACAGGCGGGAGGGGCCCCCAAGGTCACTTTGGTATCCATCGTGGACTGTTGGGGCTCCCTGTCCGTATTCTTTGTGTGTTATTTTCCTATCTGTCTTTACAGCCTAAAAGGAAAAACAAAAGCAGCTGGCTGCAGCTGCTGTGGCTGCTGCTGCCACAACTGCAACTGCTGCAGGTGGTACAGCCGCCACAGCTAGTCTCACTCTAGGGCCACATACATTGCCTGTTCTCTTCGTCTTCTGCAGAGAACTGATCTGTAAAAGTCACTAGAGGGGGGAATTCAGATCTAGCACTAGCTGCAGCAGCCCCAGCTGCTGCAGCTCTTGCCGCACCGCTGCAGCTCCTGCTGCCAAGCCTTTTCTGTTGCTTGTCCACCTCAGACCCTCTCTTGTCACACACAGCCGTTTAAGACGCAGCTTCAGCAGCAGCAGCGGCTGCTGTTGCTGCGCTTTCTTCTGCCGTTCTACTTCCGCCACTGCAATCAGAGCTCATTGGACCCCCAGCCACAAATGCAGCCGCTGCTGCTGCTGCTGTTAAGCTGCAAGATCAGCAGCGCCGCGTGTGGCAGCAGTGACAACATAGAAAGCTGCAGCAAGAACTGTAAAAGCTGACTCCCACAAGATGAGTCAGGAAATAAACACAGGGCTGCCGGGACAGCAGGAGCCCGGGATAGATGACGGTGGAGTGCAGCAGCAGCAACAGATCGCAGCGGCAGTGTTGCTGCAGCAGCATCCAGATCGAATGCAGCAGCAGCCACCGCCGCATCATACTGTTGCCAGTGTCCCTGCCGCATCTCTGGCCCCAACAGATGATCCACTGCCGCAGCTGCATGCTCTGCAGCAGCAGCAAGCGCTGCAGCAGCAGCAAGTGTTGCAGCAGCAGCGACAGCTGCCACAGCATTTGTCTTCTCTTCAGGAGGTGTTACAACATTCTACGGAGCCGCTGCAGTGGGCAGAGGCGCAGCAGCGGCAGCAGCAGCAGCAGCAGCAGCTCCTGCTGCAGCATCAACAGCAGTTACAACAACAGCAGCTACAGCAGCAGCTTCAGCAGCAAGTTTTGCAGAGTGCTCCAATACAGGGCATGCATGTCGTGGTGAATCCCACAGAACGAGGCCTTCATCTGCAGCAGCAGTTACTACTGCAGCCGGCCACGAGCTTGCAGCCGCAGCACTCGCAGCCTCAGCTGCAGCGGCCACAGCAGGTTCCACTGCAGCCGCATCAAATTCCGCTGCAGGAACATCTCCCGCTGCAGCAGCCGCTGGCCCCATTGGTGGCGCCGCTGCAGCGGCAACGCAACGTACGCTCAGCCCTGCGGGATCGGCAAGAGCAGGAGCAGCAGCGTCGGCAGCACCTGCAGCAGCAGCAGCTGCTGCTGCTGCAGCACCAGGATGCCCGCATACGACTGCAGCAGCAGCAAATGTCCCAAAGCCCTGCAGAAACAGCCCCAGGAACCTTCACGTCCGAGCCCACTCCTTTCCGCCGCGCCTCCTACGCGCCAGGCCTTGGCTGCCGCAGCATGAGCGGCAGCAGCAGCAGCTTCCCAAGCATAGACTACCCGCTGTCGCCAGTCAGCAGCCGCATTATTAACAACAATAGAAGCAGTAGCAGCAGCAGCAGCTCCGCCGAGAGGCCAACGGGCAGGAGCGTCGTCTCAGAAATAAGAGAATGGAGAGCAAGAGCTACAAACAACGCCCCGGATCAGCAGTTTCCGCAGCAGGAACAGCAGCAGGAGGAAAAGCAGCAGCAGGGACAGCAGCAGCAGCAGCAGTTTCCGCAGCAGCGGCATGGCGCAGAGCAGCAAGCACTTTCTCCACTGCAGGAGCCGCAGAACCAGCAGCCTCTGCAGCCAGCGCAGCTGCAGCAGCCCCCGCAGCAGCAGGCGCATCCACACCAGCAGTCAGGCCAGCAGCAGCACCCGCTGGCAGTGCAGCACGAGGAGCAGCCAGTTTCTGTGCAGCAGCCTATTCTGGCCAGTCTGCTGCAGCAAGCGAGTGATGTGCAACAGCTGCACGCTGCACCACTGCAGCAGCAGCAGGCGCCTCCACTTCAGCAGCAACAGACAGGTGCGCTGCCGCAGGAGCAGCAGGCTGCTTCACTGCAGCAGCAGCAAGTTCCGCAACAACATCAGTTCGTGTCCCCCGTACAGCGACAACAGCAACCAGTCTCAGTGCCACAGGAGCAGCAAACATTCCCACAGCAGCGACAGCAGATTCTTCCGCAGCAGCAAGAACAGCAGACAGTGCCACTGCAGTGGCAGCAGCAGCTCCCAATCCGGCAGCAGCCCCTACCAGGGCAGCAGCAGAATTTGCTTCCACTGCAGCATCAAGCTTCACTCCCGCCGCAGCAGCAACAGCCCCTCCCACAGCAGCAACAACAGACGTTTCCGGTGGAGCAGGGGCAGCATCCACCACCACTGGAGAAAAAACAGCAGTGTCCTCCACTGCAGCAGCAACAAACACACCAACTGCAGCAGCAACAAACACACCAACCGCAGCAGCAGCAGCCACTCCCACTGCAAAGACACCAGACACTCCAGCTGCAGCACGAGCAGCAGACTCTGCCTCTACAAGAGCAGCAAGCGTTTCCACTGCACAATCAGCAGACAGCTCCCATACAGCAGCATCCACTCACACTGCAGCAACAGCAGACACACCCACAGCAGCAGCACCAGCAAATGCTTCCACTGCAACAGCAAACACAGCCACTGCCACTGCAGCAGCAACCGGCTCAAGCCCTGCAGCACCAGCAGACGCTCCCGATACAGCAGCAGCAAGCCCGTTTGCTGCAGGAGCAGCAGCAGCAACATCAGCCACTCCCACAACAGCAGCAGCAACCACTTCCTGTGCAGCCGGCTTTTCAGGAGACAGCCCCGCTGCAGCAGCCATATCATCTGCCTTCCGCCACTACACAGGCAGTCCAAGGCCAGCAAGAGCCCCTCGTTGGACTTTTGCAGCAACAGCAGCAGCAGCATCTACAGCAGCAGCAGCAACAGCAGCGGCATCAGCAGCAGCAGCAACAGCAACAGCAACCGCAATCTGCACATGGAGGCGTACTGTTTTCCCCCCCACATGCGGCCGGTGAGGCAATTTCTCCTGCCCCTTCTGGGGGGCCCCTCACGCCGGATATGGGGGCCTCCGAGCCACTGGCGGGGGCCCCCCTGCCTGCTGTGGTGGGGGGCCCTGAGGACCCGTTGAGGTGGCTCGTGGGTTCTTCCAGTATGCCTGTCCTTCGCAGTGATGCTGTTCTGGGTGGTGGGGTCGGCAGCAGCAGCAGCAGCAGCAGCAACAGTAGCAGCAACAGTGGCAGCAGCTTTGCTAGCGGCCGCAGGGGCTCAGGAGAACTCGGCAGCAGAGGATCTCTCGACGGTTCTTCGGCATTTTTCGGAGCGGGAGTACTTGAGGCAGCAGCAGCAGCAGCAGATGAGTTGGATGCCGGAGCAGCAGCATCAGCAGCAGCAGCAGCAGCAGAAAACATCCGAAACAGCACCCGCACAGATAGCGCTGCAAGCGTCCAGAATACTGGTGCGAGGCACCTTAACAGCAGCAACATTTCGTTGGCGCAGCAAATGCCAGCAGCAACTGGTGCAGCAGAGTTGGGACGGACTTGGGGGAATATACTTTCACCTGACAGTGTTCCTCTTCGGCTCACCCCGCAGCAGCAGCAGCAGCTGCAGGAGCAGCAGCTGCTGACGCAGCAGAAGCCGCATGTGGCATCTAAGAAACTTGATCGGGGCCCTTCTGTAGCCATTATGCCAGTGGAGTTAGGGTCAGTGGCAGAGGCAGAAGCAACAGAGGCAGCAGCAGCGGCGGCAGCAGCAGCAGCTGCTGCTAAAGTTCAGCAGCAAGTGCAGCAACAGAAGGACCAAGAACTGCAGCAGCAGCAACTGTGGCTGCAGCAGCAGCAGCTTCAGCTCGCAGCAGCAGCGCAGAAGCAACAAGCCGCAGGGATCACTCTTCCTGCGCCTATCCCCCGTACGCTGCAGCAAATAGCCACCTCGGCTGCGAGTCAGCTGCAAGCCCCAATTGGGGGTTTAGCGCCAGCAGCAGCTCCAGCAGCAGCACTAGCAGCATTTCCTGAGCTGAATCCTGCCTTGCCGTCTGGAAGTCTTCCCCTCACGCAACCACAGGAAGCGCTCTTGCAACACCAGCAGCAGCAGCAGCAGCAGCCGCTGCTAGTGAACGCGCAAGCTCTTCGCCAGCCGGTACTGCAGCAGCAACCCGACGAAGCAGTGAGACTTCAGCAGCAGCAGCAGCAGCAACGTGAAGGGCAACAGCTCCTGGATCAACACAAATGGGGGCAGCAGCCACAAGCGCTGCTGCAGCAACATCAACAGGAGCACCTGCAGCAGCACGTGCACCTGCAGGGGCGGCAAGAGCAGCACGAGCTGCAGCAACACCATGTGCAGCCGCAGCAGCAGCAGCACGCACATATCTCTCAGTCAGCACAACTGGAGGAACATGTACGAGACGAGCAGCAACGGCAGCAACAGGCACGGCTTCAGCAGGAACTGCCACGGCAACAGACGTTCCAGCAGCAGCTGCTGCAGCAAATGCAGGAGCAACATCAGCTGGAGCAGCAGCAAATGCAGCAGCTTCACCTGGAACATCAGTGCGCACTGCACAGGCATATGCAACAGCATGTGCAGCAACAACTACTGCAGCATGTAGAATTCCCTCCGCGGCAGCAGCAGCCACAGCAAGCGTCTCAGCTAGAGCAACAGCTCCTCCTGCAGCAGCAGCATCCCATTGCTTCTGATGCACCTTTCGCTCGTGATCCGCTGCAGCAGCTCACGCCTACTACTTCTGCTGCTTCTGGTACTTCTGCTCCTTCTGTTGCTTCTGCTGCTTCTACTGCTCCGTATCAGCAACAGCTTGCAATGCATCAAGCACTTGCGGCCGCGCAGCAGGAGCGCCAGCGCCAGTCCCAACTGCAGCACGAAGTGGCCATCCTGCAGCAACATCAGCAGCAGCAGCACCAGCAGCAGGAAGCTGCTGCTGCTGCTGCTGCTGTGCTGTCCCAGGCCACCCTTGCCGAGGAAGCAGCGCGGACGCTGCAGCAGCCTCAGTTAGTGGCGCGAAACAGCTTTGGTGGTCCTATGCGTCAGGTGCACTTTGAGAGCGGAACACTGCAGCAACAACAGCAGCAGCAGCTGCGGCAGCAGCTGCAGCAACAGCAGCAGCAACAGCAGTATGAACTTCCGCACTTGCAAGTGGCAGCCGACAAGTGGCTGCAGATGAGATTGCAGGGCTCTCAGGAGCCCTTTGACGTATTCTTGCAAAAGAATGCTGCAGAGGTAGCGGCAACAGCGGCGGGTGCTGCTGCTGCGGGGAACGCAGCAGCAGCAACAATGGCAGCAGCGGGGGCATCCGCTGCGTCGACTGCAGCAGCAGCAGCGGCGGCTGCTTACGCTGCAGGTCAAATGGGCATCACGCCCTCCTTATCTGGGAGCGTCTTGCCGAGTGAAGGCCATATTTCGTCATTGGGCCCGAACAGCAGCAACTGCAGCATGAGCAACCACAGCATCAGCAACCCGAGTCGCAGCAGCAGCACCGTGAACTGGGCTACGAGCGAGCACCCCAGCTTCCTTCTGGAGAAGCCTGAATGGCAGCCTTTGGTGGACGCCGAGGAGGAGAGCGTGGCGAGCAGCAGCAGCCAGAGCAGCCGCAGCT